TTGAGCGACGGGATAGAAATGTATAAATTATGCTGAGATCTGTAGGTGGGTGTGGCTTCCTCCTTTGATGCTGAGGAGGCCACCAGCCTTTGCAAACGCTTGAAATAAAGTTTTACTGCTGATCAACCCAGAAAAAGTTTGTTACGCCTTGTTTCGTATTTGCAAACGCTTGAAATAAAGTTTTACTGCTGATCAACCCAGAAAAAGTTTGTTACGCCTTGTTTCGTACAGGGGGAATAATGACCAGCATTTATTTTCAGGCCTCCATAATTAAGTCTTTTGAGTGCTGTGTATCAAGGATAAAAACTCATAAAGATTTCCAGAGCTTCAAGGCTGATCTAATTCGACATTTCTAATGTGCATGGTAATTACAGTTCAAACTTTCATTTAAGTCGAAGATTTGTATCCACCTACATTTGAATACTACAATTTTTCCTGTACCACTTGTCCTGTTGTTCAAAAATATTTATTTTGCAGCTATTCTACTCCGGAAAGCTTGTTTAGGAATAGGTGATCATAGGAAGTCCAACGCGGATCAGCAGCAAATTTGTTCGGATTTACCTGAAGCAGCTAACAGAAAATACTACAATCCCCAGAATGCATTGCAATATATTTCGATGTATGCTGGGAACTGAAGTTCTCACAGGAGGCATTTGAGCAGGCCCTCTTTCTTCCTCAGCACGGAGCTGTTTTCAAGTAACTGACAATAAAGCTAACTAAAGGAGCGGAAGATGAGAGTTGGGTCGGGTCCCACTGAGGTGATTTTCTCCGGCTGGGAAGAAGCACACGGAAGAGAAACGGGACTGCTACGCCTGGGATGAAAGAAAGGAGGATACAGAGATCGTAATTAGTTCAGCTGAGAGGTGGTGGGAAGAAAACGGAACTGACAGACATTCAGAAACTGTTTGATGAGGACGGCGCTACTCCTCCCTCTTTCCCGCGTGTCATCAGTCACCCTGAAGCCAAAAGTTCCTTCCTTAAATCTGGCAGAAAGGTGGGACGTCTTCCGATTTTAGTACCGTCCATTACTAAAATAGTCTCAGCAATGCAGTATTTTTATCGAAATGTGCATTGTAAAATTCTTTTACCTGTTTTATATCTTATTTTCCACTCTTCCAAGCTGCTCTGGGTATTTACCCTGCTTAGAGTATGTGGAAGGTACTTACCACATTTTATCCTCAACAGTCCTGTGAGATAACTGAGTGTGTGACAGGTTGAATGTCAACACAATGGAAGCCGAAAATGAGTGGTGTTATGAACTTAAAGAGTGTTAACTATTGCACCAACTTACTTGTAAATATAATATGTTATAGCAAAACTTGCAATTGCATTAATCAAAGAATGGCGACTTAGCTCATG